ATATATAAGTACTAATTTGTAAAGTCATTATATTACATGCTTTTAGCTTGTAACGATCATAATCTACCTTAACAACTAGTAGTAGTAATTTGCATATCATAAATACAGATCTTTCATCCTCAATGAGGAATATGCATGATATTAACTACAGTGGCTAGCTAATTCCTTTTTTTTTTTCTTTTGGTGTCCTTTTGTTTATTCCCTATCTTGGAAGGCTATGTTAGCAGGAGGGACTGAAAACACAGTCGTAACACTAACTTGGACGCTCTCTTTATTACTTAACAACTCTCATGTAATGGAAAAGGCCAAAGAAGAATCAGACATTCAAGTTGGAGGAAATACACTAGTTGAGGAGTCACATGTAAAGAACTTTGGTCTATTTTCAGGCCATAGTTAAAGAGTCGTAACGTTTATACCGTAATATTATTATTTCGCAGTCACAACAGAAATGAAAAAACAAACATAAACATAATCTAGAGTTAAAGTATAAAGAAGCAAATTGTTCAACTCTATTGACACAGTAACGACAGTGATTGACGATTAATCTTGAGACCAACTTCCACGATCCACTAGCCATGCGCGCTCACAGTCCGGAGAACTTGACTGATGAGACTCACAGCCCGGAGAACTTGACTGATTGGACGTCTACCGTTATCACGTATTCAAGAGGCAGAATACGTGAGGGTTTTCTCATAGCTAGAGAAAGAGAGATTGGCATCTATTTATAAAGAGTATCTACACATCACAAGCCAATTGTTATTGGGCTTCACTTATCCATAGACATAGCATTTAATATTTGACTTTTTATTTATCCATCACTTGAGTCACGTCACTGTCTTTTAAGGCCATAACCAATTAAAGTAAGTCCAAATACCATCATTATATCCACCTGGACCATTGTCTCCACCCCATGAATCTATAGAAAAACTGCATTGTCGGTGGCTACAATATTTCAAAAGGTACAAACTTCATTAGCACTTTCATACGTAAAGATTAGAAGCCAAGCGTGGAGCAAGAAGAATTTCAAGAGGAGAAGCTTTAAGGATTGTCAATCCAAAGCTCTCACTCATATCAATCGGTTCATCTAAAGGTCTCTTCATTTCAAACCCCTGCAACAGCACAGCTAATACATATTGCACAACCTGAAGTCCCATAGAAATTCCAGGACACATTCTTCTTCCGCTACCAAATGGTATCAACTCAAAGTGATTTCCTCTCACATCGACATCCTTATGTGTCGTCAAGAACCTCTCTGGCTTAAATTCGTCGGGATTTGGCCATAAATCTGGATCGTAATGAATCTTCCATATGTTCACTAATAAGCGAGTTCCTTTTGGTATATCGTAGCCACTAATAACACAATCTTCTATAGACTCGTGTGGTAGCAAGAGTGGTGCAGCTGGATATAAACGTAATGCTTCTTTAACAATAGCTTGAAGATAAACTAAGTTCTTGATATCTGACTCTTGAACCCATCTGTCCTTCCCAACATGAGCATCTAATTCATCTTGGGCTTTTTTCAGTGCTTGGTAGTTGTTTAGGATTAAAGATAAAGTCCATGTCAGCGTTACGATCGTCGTGTCTGTTCCTGCTGATTGCAGAGCCTACCAAAGCCAAACCCAAAAATTTCAGCAATCAGCTCCACATTCCACAATAGTAAGACTAATAATTAAAAACATCTTATTTATATGCACTAACATTGTAAACAAGTTTATAAGTACAATTAGTTTAACTGTCTCATATTATAAGATACCAATCTAACGGTTACGCTACTGTAAGCAAATCTTATTGTGACCTTTAAGTAGAGAAACAGAAAAAGTTTGGAGCAAAAGAAACGTGTTTCAGTGTTACGAATCGTGGTGTCGGTACCCAAGGGTGAAGCTACACTCCGGCAAAGGTGGTCAATTGACCACCCTTCGCCAGGAAATTATATGCGTATATAAGCAAAATATTATGTTTTAAAAGTATATAATATATATTGGATATAATTTATCGGACATTTTTTTTCTTTTTTCAAGTTTGAACACCCTTGGCGGAGTTCCTGGCTCGCCACTGTCCGTACCTGCTGATTGAAGAGCCTACCACACCAAACGCAACAGTATGAGCACAACCAGGAAAAACAAATAGATGGACATCTATTTATAGTCAGAACAATAAATAGCAGAATAATGAATTACACAATGAATATCAGATTAATGACCTGAAAAGGGATTTAGATATTTATATGTTATATACTATGTTGCTCGGACACTCCAAATATGTCTGTCTTCCAAAAGTAGTATAGTTTTGAAGATTCGACATAGGTGCAGCAGCATTTCGGAGAGTCCGCGCAATATAGGTTGTGTGCCATAGCTGGTAATATTCATATAATTGGCTTTTAAGTGGAAAAACAGAACAATTTTGAACTAAGTTAGCTGTAATTAGTAGGAGGTAATGAAGAACATACCAAACATGTAGCTTTGATAATGGTATCAGCATCAAAACCAGGAAGATCTCTGTCTTCACAAATGGACAACATAACATCCATTAAATCTTCTTCATCACCATATTTTATTCCTCTTAATTCCCTCTGTCTTCTGTGCTCTGCTAACCATTCTTCAACAAGACAGTCCATTTCATTAGCAGTCTCTTTCATGGCTTTCTCATGGCCTCCTATATCCAGCCATCTTAAATATGGTAAAAAATCAGCCACAGCTGATACTCCCATCAATTCAAAAAATCTTCTTATTGCTTTGTGAGCTCTACTTCTTTCTTCTTCTTCCTTACCTACAAGAGGCGGATCGGGAATTTAATATCTATAGGCAGTGGCGGAACCACAAATTTCCCGTGTCAAAATATAAAATAGTAAATACACAAGATGCTAAGGGGATTCAACATATATATACATAAAATTAAATTTTTAGCCAAGCTATACAATATAATTTTCCGACAATGCGGTGTAAATTTGACATTCCTTAGCCTATGGTGACTCTGCCACGGTCTATGGGTTCAAAGTTCCGAAGTCTTTAAAACTATATATGGATTCAAGACATGACATGTAGAGGTGAAGCTAAAATTCGAACTTTATGGGTTCGGACTTTTCGGACAACTTCGAATGCTAGTTCAGAATTTAATATTTCCTACATATTTCGTACGAAATATTAACACATATATAAGGTTCGAGCTGAAATAACTGAGTTCTGTCGAACTCATATGTAACACTCTCCCTAGTCCCTCCGCCCCTATGATATGTTTACTACTCTTTTTTTTTTTTTTTTTTTTTTTTTTTTACCTATACTCTCTGTCTCAAATTATCTATCATATTTCTCTTTTATACGGCCCAAAAAAAACATTAATTAGAAGGGATTTTTGACTAGTTTACCCTTATTTATATCTTAAGATATAATCTATCTTCATTGAATATATATTTTATTTATGTGTCATCTCCGTGTTCAAGAACAATTACTACTAAGGATAAAATCAAAAAAAAAATTAATTAATTTTGTCATGAATTTTTAAAATGACAAATAATTTAAGACAATTATTTTTAAAAATACCTATAGATAATTTAAGACCAATGGAGCAACTATATATTAAATTGATCACTACCCAAACTAGGAATTAAGCAAATACCTGTGTATCGTACTCCGAATAACATCTTCACCATAGTGTTCATAATTAAGTTTCCAAACCATTCCTTCATCTCCATTTTCACAGCACCATTTAAACTTGTACTCTTGCTCTTCAACCAATATTCATATATCTCTTTGATAGCTGATTTTACTTCAAATTCTCTAATGTGACTAGACATCTCAACTTGCCTAGTGGAAAGAAATTCAATTGTAGCTATCTTCCTAATCTCTCGCCAGTACGGCCCATAAGGACCTAGCCCAAACATGGCATAATTGTAGCCTATAATCTCTGAAGCTATGGATTTAGGCCGATTGGCAAAGGCCATATCGTTTGTGGTGAAACATTCTTTTGCTATTTTTGCATCACTAACCACCACAACTTGGTTTACTCCAAGCTTAATTCTAAAAATGGGTCCATGTTTTTCAGCCATATGACCAAAAATTTTGTGAGGCATTTGAGTTCCATTGAGAAGGTGAAGATGGCCAATAATTGGCCATGCTCCGGCAGCTTTAGGTACTTTTCTGTTCTGCGTTTTAGCTGAGAAAAATTGTTTGAAAAGAAAGAAGAATACAAGAAAGGAGGTAGATAGTGTTATTGCAATCAAAAACAAATCCATGGCTATAATTAATTGGTTATGTATTCACTGTTCTGTAAATTCAGAAGTGCAGAAAGTCTGTAATTGATAGATAACCAGTATCTCAAGATTTGCAGAGTCTAAAAGCTTAAAATTTTTATATTCAATTCAATTAACAAAGAAAGAAAATTGTATCACGGGAGTGATGGCGGCTGGTCAACAATTGTTAGTATAAACAAAAAAAACTAACAGATGTCAAAGAGTTTGACTTAAGCGCAAAGGCTTTTTGCACTATGATGTCATTATTGGAATTGGCAATTTACTTTCTTTTTCAAGATTATAAGTCCGCTTTTTTTATGAAGGGTTAATATATTTCTGAGTGACTGAGAGCATACTAAAGTTTNATATATATATATATATAGTCACACATACTCTACCTGCTGCATCATAGAGGCTAATAAATGGAGGCCAAGGGACATTTGATAAGCATCAGTTTCTTAGTAGGCGTTTGGACATAAAAATTGTAAAAACAAATTTAAAAATAGGATTTGGAATCTAGTTAAAAAAATAATATTTGACATTTGATATTATGTTTGGACGTGCATTTTGACTGAAAAATAATGCAGTTTTGTGAGTGGGGAAAAACAATTAGAGTATTATCAGTTTTTGGCTCGCGCCAGAAACTATTTACATTCGATAGTCGAAAAAGTGTATAAAATTTGTATATAACATACAAAAGTTAAATATAAAAAATTTCGACTATTATTTTGAGAGCGACTATACAGTGTCATTTTACTAAAAAAAATCTGAAAATTTAGAAAAAAATCTCCAAAAACTTAAAATATTTTATGGACAAACATGTTTTTGAAAGAAAATAAATAAAAGGAAAATAATTCAATAGACAGACGGGTCCTTAATTTAATGTAGGATTTTGCTTCAAATTTTCAGAGCAATTATAGGATGGCACTCTTCTGGACCTGGCCCCTGTCCAAGCAATGGATTGTTGTAGACATAAGCCCAAAGTTATGGATTTGGGTCATTTTTACACGGTCCGATTCGACTACTGTTTGATCCAGACCATTCTTATCCTGAAAAAATGGGACCGTGTTATTATCTTATACACAAAAAAGTGCTTTCCATAAATTATATACCTGACAAAAAGTGCTTTCCATCACTTATACACAAAAAATATTAAACAAAAAAATTCCTTGCTAATACTATTTAGCAATGAATTAGCGATAGATTATAAAAAAAAAAAAATTAATTACGAGCGATTTAGCGACAGATTAACGACCAATTTCGTAATTAATTTTATTTCTTTTGTAGTGACTAGTGATATTACAAAATATTTGCCGAAATAAGTAAAACGAATCTTCAAAAGCGAGGGTGCTAGTTCTGTTGCTTAAGCTATCAGAGTTAGATCAACGACGACCCATATTTTTGTAATGTGATATGACTTAATTTTGATTGCAGATTCATCTTACACCATTACTGTTTCTTTCTAATGATATCAAGATAGTCTTGTCAATTTTGAAAAGGTCAACTTATTTTTTTTTTGTATATGATTCCCGTCCCCTTTATTGGAGCAATTACTCCTTTGGTGATTCATAGTTGTTAACTAGTAGACTCAACTTACAATACAAGGACTCCGGTCATAATTATGTTCCAAAATTAGGTGCTAATCTCTGCTGTAGAAACAACAAATACAACTTAGCTAACAGAGCTGTCAGCTGGCATGCTCTTTCCATCTTTTTGTTTCAGAAAAGAGAATGTCTCCTTTTATTAAAAAAATGAAATTTCCCAGTTTACTACTGAGGAGAGTTGTATTCATTAGAGAAGGAACAAGAGGGGGACTTGACCTTACCTCTTATGATACAACACAGGGACAATATCATTGTCTAGCAAAAAAAGGATGGCCAAAAAATAAATTGTTACATCCATCCTTATGCCCCTACAACATAAGTAGACTAACTAACAAAAAGATATACTTTACTTATAAGTATTATCAGTCTGTCATGAGTATAATTTATGTTGTTTGAAGGCATAAAATAAAAGATACACTATGATAAGATAAACCTTGACAATGCATTTATCTTAAATGTTGAGTCATAACTCTTCAAATAAGAGAGAAAAGTATAGTGAACAAATGTTAGGGAATGTAATTAAATGTAGCAGTTCTAGGATAACGCTAATATGATTATTAGAGAAATAGAGATCATGTGAATGTACTGGTGACAATTTTCAGTAGAGAAAATTGAAATTGTTTATGAAATTCGTCATTTTATTTTGTTTTATAACTGGAAAGTCATTATACTTTGCACATTGTAACTCAAAAGTCACTCAGAACTTTTAGGGCATTATTAAATATTATTTTTCATATTTATTTTCAGCCTAACCATTTAAAAAATAAAAAATGCCAATTTTAACCTGACCCATTTTCTCTTATTTCTGTTATAAAAAACGTAAATATTACTTTGATGTAGTGTACTATCTTGATTCTCAACATAGTCATATTGAATGTATACACTGGCTTAAACAAAGTATTAAATAGAGAATAAGAAATTAGTCTTATCAAACTAAAGGAGTTGAATTTGAAAGTGAAACAAGAAAATTAGCAGCGTTGAAGTAGAAGAAAATAAAAAGTAGAAAGGAATAATGAAAAAAAATTATTTATTCTTGAAATTTTGACTGAGAAATATTAATATAAGAAGGCGAGACTATCTAAATTAAAAGACAAGATCCTCGATATTTTAGAACAAGAAAGCTCATTGCTTATAGTAAAGATAATGCTACCAAAAGACCATAATTCAATTGATTTAATACTTTGTTTAAACAAGTATGTTGAAAACCAAGATAATTCACTACAGCAAAGTAATGTTTACGTTTTCTGTAACAAAAATAAGAGAAAGTGGATCGGGTCATAGAGAGGGTTGAGTCACAGTTTAAATGAATGCTTTTTATTTTTTAAATGATTAAGTTAAAAAGAAATATGAAAAATAGAATTTAATATGCCCTAAAAGTGTTGAGTGACTTTTGAGTTACAATGTCCAAGATATAAACTTTCTAGTAACAAAATAAAATAAAGTAACTTTCATAAATAATTTTTATTAGTTCAATGATCTCTTGCTAATTGCTATCTGAGTTATTAGTTGGTACATGGGACTAGATATTTCTTTAAACTGCTTCACTCACTTTGACCCAGAAACTTCTAAACATCGTCAAAATAATAATAGTAGTGACTTCCAATCATAGAAAATCTTCAAGAAATAATGTTACACTCCGTGGAAGGAAATCATTTTAGACACGTCAAGTTTTGTCACCTAATTAACCTTCAAATGATTTAGCAAAATCCACTAAAAGATTTTCCCCTATTTTCGTGTCAAGACAAAATTGAACCATCCTGTAGTACTCTACAGAGATTTTCTTAATTGCAGTCAAAGATAGAACTATAACAAATAACTACGTCAACTTAATTAATTTAACTCTACATGAACCTTGTTTTAGCACTTGAGAAGAGTCGAATCATTTGAGGAAGATCCAGCATGTCCCATATTCAAGCTTGGTCTTCCTAGTGTAAATTCAAGATTAACCAATGTATCAGAAGAAGATGATTTATCAGCTGTCTCGACACCATCCATCTGCATAAATCCAATTATACTAAATTAATATACATACTTATAAATCTATGTCAAAAAATTAGGAAAATAAACCCTTTATATATATATTCCAATAATGTAACTTACATTTGAATAGATGTGAGGATAAGGAAATGATCTTTCTCTATTTGAGTGGCTCCATGCATTTGTCTCAGGCATAAATGAAGTTGAGACTCTGGTAATTTTTGTTTAAGATAAAACATGTTAGTACGTAAGACAAGAAGATCAATTTGAAACGCTATTAGGGTTTTTCTTAGACTTATAGAGATTTAGGTGGTGGCATTGGCAACCAAGATTGTGGGCTATATATATCTAACCTAGTGACGTGCATTTTGTCTGTATATACTAGGTATATGGACCAATAAGAAATTTGAAAAGTGAACCCCAAAATGAAGACGTAAATGGCATGTTAGAATTAGGAAAAGAATTAGGGCATTAATTAAAACTCAGATATGAATGACCTGAAGAGCATGTTTTAGATGATTTAAGGAGGGTATACATTAGATCTAGTTAAATGAGAGACTCAATTAAGCAATGTTTAATGATCCAATTAATGGAATAATTATGATTAATAGATACAATTATGGTCTTGTCATGGCTGTCCATGAAAGAAGTCAACAAAGTCCATCCAAAAAGAACATTGAATTAATAGTTTCGCATAACAATATATGGGGCAAATACAGGACCCCTACCAATCCTAATTGAAGTGTACCCAAGTGGCACCCTAGCTAGTATACAATTTTGAGATTTGAGCCAAACGGACTGCTTGACTTTTTAGAAATACTTCTCACTTATAGAGATCGGTGCTTAATTCAATTACCCTTCTTCCCCAATAAAAACAAGTGCCTTTCCTTTCAACTAATCTAATATCTCTGATCATATGAACTACCATTTTAATCAAGTGGATTTGATTTAGAATATTTGATGTTTTTAAAAAAAAATAGGAAGGAATGTTTTTCTTCAAATTCATCTTAACTGCTCAAAATAGTGTAGTGTTAATTAAGTAAAATGTTTAAATGAGATGAATGGACGTAATTTAGATAAATATTCTTATAATATGAAAATTATTAACGTATCTTTTTTAAAAGGATGCACCAAAATCTGAAAAGACAAATAATATGAATGGTGTAGTGATAAAATAAATACAACTAATACTAGTAGATTTTGAGTTCCAAACATTATAGCAATAGGATATGATTTCACACGTAAATCACAACTCTCTAAACCTAGAAGCCCTTGTACATTAATTCACCAAGATCAAGGTACTTAGAGCCATTGAGTATTTAATCGCATTTATCTCTCTACACTATTAACAAAGCTAAGACAGACACCATCATATTGTACCGGAATAAATTCCACGGTCAAGGCATTTTTGTGTGTGTATGTCTGCCTCCTACACTGATTATTGATTCATCTACATGCTAAGCTATTACTTTGCATCTACTCTATAACAATGCCTTAAATATTTTCCATACTAGCCCTTAAATACAGTTGTCTACAACTATGCTTAGTATAT